TTAATATTATATATATTATCGAGACCGAGAACCTTAAGAAACTTCTTCTATATCTCTTTATACTAACGATATATCTAGAATATACCTTATATCCGATTTCTTTTATTATACTTAATAAAGTACTTAAGTTATTACTCTTATAGGATATTAACGAATACTTACGTAGCAATTAGACTATTAAGAGACTTAAGGCGAATTACTTAACGATCGTTATAGATATCTTTAGTTCGAAAAAAGTAGTATATTAAGTCGGACTAATAACGAAGAAGCTTATCTATCTAACGAGCTATAAGGGCGCTAACCTTCGAGATTTCTCTCTCGATACTTTTCTACTCTTAGGTATATCGACGATATATAGTATAAGCCGAGGTATATAGAGACGGGCTATAGTTATGCATTAGAACCGTTACTTAATATCGTTACTCCTAACGGTCCTTATTATCGCGAACTACTAATATAATAATTAAATATAAACAATCGATTCTTTAGACGAGACCGATCGTAAGCCTACGCTCTTTAATAGTTAAGAACGCCCTTGGTCGCATTTAAAGATAATATGAGTTACTTCTATACTATTATCGATATTATATTTATAGCCGCTCGACTAGACCGAAATTATAGCGCTATTATCGCGGTAAAAGCCTTAGAGAAACCTATAGAGGTCTTAATATATATCGAATAGCTATAAGGCTAGAGGAACTAATATCTTACGGGTTATATAATCTTCCTCCTCGTTAACGTTAAACTTAATATATTACTCTTATTGCCCTCGCTTAGGTTTAAGCTCCTATTTAAGCTCCTATTTAAGTTCGTACTTAAGCTCTTAGTAGCTAGCTTACTAACCTTCCTTATACTTAACCTTATACTTAGCCTTATACTTAGCCTCATACTTAGCCTCATGCTTAGCCTCGTACTTAGCCTCGTACTTAGCCTCGATCTCGGGCTCGTATTTAGCCTCGTATTTAGCTACGTCTACTTCAGGCTCGTATTTAACCTCGTATTTAGCCTCGACCTCAGGCTCGTATTTAACCTCGTATTTAACCTCGTATTTAGCCTCGACCTCGGGCTCGTATTTAGCCTTATACTTAATTATATCTACTTTAAGCTCGTATTTAGCCTCGTACTTAACCTTATATATAGCTACGTCTACTTTAGGCTCGTATTTAGCCTTATGCTTAGCCTCGACCTTACGTTTAAGATAGCGAGCTTACTAGCGATTATAGATAATTAAGGACATTAAAGAAGGTAAAGAAACCTAGGCGTTAGCCCTATTAGGTAGACTATTAGTAATAGCGGTTAGCTTAGGTAACGTAGCTTAGTTATCGCTAGTATTAAACGGGGCAAAAGATATAGAGGCAGTAATATCTCTAGTTAAGTCGATAACTAGAATATTATAATCGCCTAAGGTTACTTAAGGGCTAAGTCTATAGCTAGACTATATAGTTAAGCTAGAGCCTATCTTTACGTCCGAGTTAGAGAGAGAAGACGACGATATAGAGTTATCTTTAATAAGGTCGATAACCGGGATAATATAATCCCCTAAGGTAGGGCCCGCCCTATAGTTAATAGTCAAGCCCGAGCCTATATCGAAGTTAAATAAAGAAGATAAGTTATCTCTAGTAAGGTCGATAACTAAGATATTACGATCTATCTAAAAAGTATTAAGAGATATATTAAGATAGTTAGAACTAATCTTATTAAATATTAATTTCTTACTTATTAAATATTACTTACTAAACCTATTACTTAATAAACTTCCAGTCTTTTACTTCCGTTCTAAAGAGTTTATATACTTAATAGTAAGGGTATCTATCTCTTTAAAGTATAAAGTTCTTACTACGACTAACCGTAAGGAACTACTATTATATAATATAGACTAAACTATAGTATATAAATTACTTAGATATATCGATATATTACGAAACTTAAGTTTATAGCATTATGAATTATTTAGCTAGATTTAGGTATACCCCTATTCTTAAGGTATAGCGACGTAGCCTCTATATAACGCCGTCTAATAGTATATAGCCGTTCGTCTAACGGCCTAGCTATCCGGCTTAGCCTAGCCTACCTAGCCTACTTAGCTTACTTAGCCTGCCTTAGCCTACCTTAGTATACGGAGCTAAGTAAGTAAATAGAGAAATGCGTATATTAGAGTAGTAGCTCTTATCGCGGGCTATTAAGCTACTAGGCTATATAGGCAATTAAAGGTATCGCGGGCTACGCGGCTACTATAGTAATTAAAGGTATTACAGGCTATACGGCTATTATAGTAATTAAAGGCAGCGTGGGCTACTAAGCTATTAGGCTACGGCGGCCCGGCGGTAGGCTTATATATTATACGTAGCGTAAGTAAATAGAGATATACGTATAAGTAAATAGTAGTTCTTTAAATATAATAGACCTCTTTCTATAATATCTATATTTCCTCTTATATTACTATTAGTATAGGTCCCTTATTATAGTATTAAGACTATTTAATAGGTCTATAGTATAATATATAATTTTAGTTATAGGGCCTAGCTATAATAGATAGGGGTATAAGTAAACTTATATAAAAATAGAGAAATATATATATAGAGATAAGGATACTTTATATTTTAATAATATAAGAGGCTCTTATAGACCTTCTTATTATACCTAAAAGTAATGTTTTTTAAATAAATAGCTATATAATATATATATATATAGTTATATAATATATTATATAATATATTTATATATATTATATAGGAATATATTTTTTTTATATCCTTTTATATAGTCTATATAGCTATATATTAATTATTTTATATAAACTAAGAGAATTTATATAATAGACTTTAGTCTATCGTGCGGCTAAGTAGCTTAATAGCGCCTTAAAATAAAGGAGCTAATATTTAAATAATAAAGGGGTAATATCTAAATAGTATATTTTATTAAATAAACTTAGCTTTTAGTTTAATAATATCTTTATTAATTTAATATTAATTAATATAGCTAAAAAGAGCTAAATTTAGCTTTATTTAATATAGCTATAATTAAATTTAATATAGTTATAATTAAATATATTTTAATATAGCTTTATATAATATAGCTAACTTTATATTAAATTAATAACTTTAAGTCTAGCTAAAAATAATAAATATTAATTTATTAAACTATTTAATAATATAATAAATTACTTATTAATATAATAAACTATTTAATAATATAATAAATTACTTATTAATATAATAAATTATTTATTATAATAAAGTTTTTAAATAAATATTTACTTAATATATATAAAACTTAATATATATTAAATAAATATTTATTTATATAAACTTTATAATAATATATTTTATATATTTATATATAGCTTATATAGCTATATATTAACTATATATTATATTTTAGTTATATAAGAGACTTTTATATACCTTTTTATTATAATAAAGATAAGATTTATATTATTAAAGACCTCTTAATATTACCTTAACTTTTATAAAGTTATCCCCTTAATTATATTATAATTTAATAATATAATTAAAAGTATTAAATCTTATAATAATTTATATTTTTATTTTAAATATAAATTTAAGCTATAATAGCTATTAAACTTAAGTTAGCTATAAAGACTTTATAAACTATTAAGCTTTATAAAAAGGGATATTATATATATATAAGCAATAAGATTATAGAACCTTATTTTACCTCCTTATAGTATATTTAATAAAGATATATTATTTAAATATTACTTATTTTCTATTTAAATATTACGAGCTTAAGATACCTTAAAGTAGCGGTAATTATTAAGCTATAATAATAGCTTAAAGGTATTATATAATTAGAGTAGTCTTATTTTTATATATATATTTCTCTATTTTTATATACGTTATATAGCTAAGACTAGGCTATAATACTATACTATTAAGCTCCTAGCCCGGCAGCCCGCGATAGCTTTAATTGCGCTATAGCCCGCGATAGCCTTAATTACGCTATAGCTCGCGTAGCCTATAATGCCTTTAATTATGCTATAGCCCGCATAGCCTAATAGCCCGCGATAGCTTTAATTACTTACTATAGCTTAGTAGCCCGCGATAGCTTTAATTGCCTACTATAGCCTAGTAGCCTACGATACCTTTAGTTACTATAGCGGGCTATATATATAGGCCGCTAGACTAGTACTATAGTACCCCGGCAGGCCTATTTTTAGCGCTCGTAATAAGGGCTCTTAGTAGCTATACGGGCCTTAATAATAGAGTTATATAAAAATAGAGAAATATATATATAAAAATAAGACTACTCTATAATTAAAGGTATTATATAATTAAAGGTATTATATAATTAAAGGTATTATATAATTAAAGGTATTA